GTTCATTTTCACAACTGAGCCGTGTTAGCAACCCGGAATGACTGAAAAACAACCGAACAGAGGTACGACGCCAAACAAATTGTACATTTTGGAAACCCAAAACAGAATGTTAAATATTGGCAGTAAGAAAAGCTTTAAATGTTTATTAATTCCTTTGTTATAAAAAATAATGTAACACTCGCGTCGATGCACTTTACTACAAAGAGATAATTTATAAGTTATTATAAATTATTTTTAAATTCTAATGTAAAAAATAGACACATATTGTTGTTGGTATTAAATATCACGATTGTTTTTAAATCTTGAAATTACTATAAAAGTTCCTAAAGTTAACACAATTTGGTATGACAACGAATGTGACGGATTCGGTGAAATGAAATGACATGACAAATGTCGATCGAGTGTGTGATAAAAGACTCACAAATAAACTAATCATTATAGAATATTAACTTTATGTATTTTTTATTAATTGGAATAGCTTTGAAATTTTAAATTGGATTTCTAATTATTTCTAATTAATTTGTATTTTTAGTAATTTTAATAAATTAATACTAATAAATATTGTTTTTATTAATAACTATCTTAAATTATGATAATGTTTTTTACATACAAACACCACTTTTTAATCGTAGTCCTAATTTACCCATTTTTTAAATATGGTCATCAGTAGTTTTAAAGTTCTCATACCACACCAACACAATATTAAGAGTGTATTATTAGCGAAGAAACATATAGATTTGAATACTGCCCAATGAATTAAAGAGTTTGGCAATAAATAAGAATGGGCACTTGGAAAAACATGGCAAACACGTCAAATGTTTTTTTTGAATAAAAAACAAGAAAATACTTCACTTTCAATATTTTATTTTCTGATTGATATAACATTAAAATGGTTAATTTATTATAAATTTATAATTTTTGAGGCCATACTATAAAAACAAATTATCAATCTTTTTAATTAAATTGATTTGAATTATTCACTCTGCCGTGTCTTGTTCATTGTCGTAATTGTCTCGGCCAAAGAATACATCAACATATTCACCGTCTTTTAGCTAGTTTCACAAGTTATACAAATTTGCTATACCGCTTGTATCATACTGTTGGTGTTCAATAACCAGTTATTTACCTTTCTAGCAAAGGATTTAAAGAGAGCTGTATCAGATTATCCTAATAAATTAATTCATTTGTGTTTTATTATTATTGTTTCACAAAAACAAATATTTTAATGTTTTAAAATAATATTTTAAACAAAAGTTTTGTTTGTTTTCTAATAATAAAGTAGTCGGGTCTGTAAATTCGCTTTTTTTAAATTGTATTTTTGATTTATAAAACATTTTTGTGTTGTTTGTATGTATGTACGTATAGAATAAACATATAGTTGTTTTTGTCATTTCGTTTAAGATGTTTTAAACTATATTTAATTGTTTCATTATTATATAAATTCAAAGGTTAAAACTATCCATTGTTAATATCCGATATTATAATTTTTACTAGTAAAATTACTTTCTCATGAATTTTCATTTTTGAAAAGTCTATGGAATAGGTCAGACAATATAATTGGTAATTTTTGCCATAATAAAATTTTTTGTCTAAGTGTGCTGTAGAGTTGGTGGAAAAAAGTCCGGCTCTACAAGAATAACTATATTTTATTATAAACAGCCATCTATTATTAGTTTCTATTTTTTTATTTTTTGGAGTTTAAATTAATGTTTTTGAAATAATACAAAATGTTTTCAATATTATAGCAACTAATGTTATAATTTACTATAATTCACAAACGAGCCGGACTTTTTTTTACCTAAAGTCAGTCTTTTAACGTTGTCCTTTCTTTGAACTTAGTCCTTTTTTGCCAAAAAAGTACACAAAAAATTCTTTAAATAATTGGGAATTAGGTTATATTTTATAAAAACGGTAAACAAACTTAAACAATGATTTTCTGGCATTTCGAAAATTTTCCCGATATATTTTAGTCATTAATATCTAAAAAACGAGGGACAAAGTTGGAGAAAGGACAACGTTTAGAGAATGACTCTACAGTTAACGGGAAAGGGGGGATGCTAATTTAAATATTAATTAATTTAATATTATTCATAATAAATAATTAACAGGCAAATATTATAAGAAGGATTTTTGTCCGTTTATTATTAACCAAATAATAATATTTGCCCATTAAAAAACTCGAAAAAAATTGATCACAAATAAATGAGTAATTTAAATTCTAGATCGTATTTGAAAAATAAAATGTGAAGACGTAATAAGTTATTTGAGATTTCATAACAGATAATCAACAAATATCGCATGCATTCACAATTCCACGTGAAACGGATACATTGAAAAGCATATTAATAAATTTTACAATAACTTCACATTTTATTAGATTTTCTTTTAAATTAAACCACTTCAAAACATCCAACGACAAATAATCTCAATATAAAATGGTGCGAATTGAAAGTATCATATTTTTTTTTACAACCGTAAATTAACATAAAAAATTTTCATTTAAAAATGTGTGGTTGATGAAACTATTCTAAAAATAATAAAAAATTAAAAAACCCGAAAATGAAAAACTTAAAAATAATAATAATGTTATTAACGAGTTCGCCGAAAAAATACGAACACATAAATTGTACGCGTGAATTATAAACGCATAGTTGATAAAGTTTGTTTTGTTCTGTGTCATACAAAAAATTCAAAAACAGAAATAAATGTTTGATAGAAATGGTCTCTGTCAAGGATATTGTTGCTCTTGACACTCATTGATAAAAAATTCGAAGGGCAAACGGATCCAAATATTGTCAACGCACCTCCAAAATATTTGTTTTCTCAAAGTGAACCAACCCAACATGGGAAACCCCGAAATCTTTTCTAAAAATTGATGTTTGGCAAATCTTAGTCAAATTAGTTCTCAATTGTTATTTGTTTTCTTTCAGTTGTTGGCGGACAAAAAAACCGCCTTATAGTTTTAACAGGTTTTTCCTTTTATTTTTTTTAAACCAAACTAAAATTTGCCTTTTATTACTTTCTCCCTTTTAAAAAATTACAAAGAAAAAATCTAACCTGTTAAATAAAAAACTGCGACCAAAATCTCTTAATTCTTCATTTCCAGATAACAAACACCGTTTTGCATTCTTTAGTGAATTGGCTCGCCTCCTGTGTGATTTTCTTTCCAGTTTTCCAGTTAGGGTCATGAGCCCAAATAGTGTTTCCGTCGAATGAGTTAATAGTGATGAAGTGTCCGCCCGTTGTCCATTGTCCAGCTTTCATTGACCCAATAGCAATTCCTCCACTGTCGACCATTTTCTTAATATTCGTCATATCTCCGCAGCTATATTGTTTACAGTTCAGTCCATACTTCTTCGCTGCGGCCGGGAACAACGCCCATGCTGTCCCATAGCTATCGTCCTTCCATCCATTCGCCATCGAGTAGTCTGCCAGAGTCGCCGGTGTAACGCTTCTGTCCGCCAACGTCGCGACGACCATAGCCATACTCGTAGGCCCGCACCCTGATGTACACACCGTGTTCGACTTATCATTGCGCGAAGAGTACATCTTACTCTTCCATCGCGAGTCGCACTGATAGAAGAAGACTTCCTCATAACACCGAGTTTGGGATTCGCAAGGTGGGTGCGGACTTGAATCAACTGAAGCGCCTTTGGTGTAGTAAGGGTACGACGGGGATCCTCCAGCATTCGGATTAACGGGCGTGGGAGTATCCGTCGATGACCCTGATGTTCCAGATGGATCTTCCGGAATTTTGGCACTTCCACTCTCTTCGGAAGGAGTCGGAGAAGTGCCCGAAGCTGAAGGATTTGTGTCTGACGCTTGAGAAGGAGCAGGAGAAGACGTCGATCCACTTGATGGAGATTTCCCCGAATTATTAGATGGAGATCTCGTATTAGAACTGGGCGAATTATTAGATGAAGGCTTTGAAGGAGATGTCGGTAGTGTTGGATCAGCTAATGAGTTAGCATTATCTAAACTATTCACATTAATACCATCGTTAATAGTATTTTTACTATCATCTTTACTATTTTCGTTTTTTCCCGTTCCATTGTCGGTAAGTCCTTCATTCTTCTCTTTTTTTTCTTTTAGTTCCTTTAATTTAGTTTTGAGCTTATCTTCAATAGTTTCGATTTTTCCTTTCACTTTTTTTGTGATTTTTTCTTTGAGTTTTTTTACAAAGGTTTTGGCTTGTTTTTTTGTCCCTTTTTCACTCTTTTTGATTTTATCTTCAATAGTCTTAAAAACGGATTTCGCTTTGCCTCTCATTTTGTCAATCTTGTTTTTGGTTGTATCGAAAAACTTCTTCTCGAGAGATTTCTTCTGATTCTGAACAGTCTTTAATCGATCTTTTAAATTCATCATCTTCTCAGTCACTTTTTGTGTAGCTTTTGTGGCAAAGCCTTTTGCGTCTTCTACCTTCTCTTTGATGTCCGATATAAATTTTTCTTTTTTATTTTTAACTTTTTCAAGTGCTTTTTTTACAGTGCTTTTGGCGACTTTTAATTTGCCATTTGCTAAGTCGACAAGTTTTGAAAGAGTTTTTTTGTCGGCTGTTCCGGTGGGTTTTAGGCCTAATTTGCTCTGGAATTTTTCAAGTGCCTTTTTTGCTTTTTTTGTGTTTTTACTAAAGACGTCTTTAACCTTTGAAAATATTTTATTCACATTTTTGGGTGTTACTAAAACTTTTTTCTCCTTTTTCTTGTGTGATTGAGTGTTTGATTTTTTTCCTTGCATTTTCAGTATATCATTTGCAGTGGTCTTTGGCTGTCTAAGTCGCAGTTTTTGTTTTAAAGAAAGTTTTGATGTGAACTTCTTAGTGTTTTGCTTAATTCCATTTTGTCGACTTTTAAAGCTCTTTTGTGTTCTTTTTATATCAGTGAAAGTCGCTTTTCTTCGATTTAAACTCGTTTTCTTCTTAGTGGTAAAACTTGCTTTGCTCTTCTTAGTAATTGAAGGTTTTTTGACAATGGATTTTAAAAGAAATTTTGAACGCTTTGGAGTTGAAAAGATTTTCCTCTTCTTTTGAACTTTTTTTGAAGAGCCTCGACTGGATGGTTTCGAAATTCGTCGACTTTTTGTGGGTTTATTGGTTTTGATTACACGACGGCTCGACTTCTTTGCGTCAACTGATAAAAGTAAAGTGCATATCAAGACAATTAGCAGTAATTTCATAATATAAAATATCAAGTTGTATCGAAACATAAAATTTAACGACATTTCAATGTTTTTATATATTTTAAAAAAGAAAAAAGACTGTTTGGTTTGTCTGGTCTTTTTTACATTCATTGTAGTTAAAATGTTATGTATTTGACATATTTTTAAACTTTTTATATTTTTTTTTCAAACGCTTTCAAAATGTTATCCAAACAAAAGTTTGTTACAAAAAGATCAATTTGGGTTTATATTGAATTGTCTTTCTTTTATTATAATAGTTATTATCATATAAACTAGTATTTCTCATTTTGTTAATTTAAAATTCCAATTATTTATCACAAAATACGGCAGTTTGTATTTGTAAAAAAATGAAAAATACGATATTATTCAATATATATGGAATTTTCTATCTATGACAAAAGTATAATGTTTTGATATGAAGTATTAAATCATTATTAATCTTAAAAATACAGTATTTTTAACGATATTTAAGTACTTTTTGTTTTATACTAAATAAAATGTTTTGTAAAAGTGGTTGAAAATAATTTATCTTATTGTTTAATCTTTATAATATTAATTTTTAATGGTTATTGTTGCACATAATTAAGGCAATTTTTCGTTTAAACTAATAAATAAAATTAACTTAAAGTTGACCTATTTCATGTAGAAAATAAACAATAGATGTAATTTTTGGTATTTCAAACAAAATACGAAAACAATGTTATTATTTACTAAATTTAGAAAATAACTTTTTATTATTTGAAAAAAATACAGTCTGTTTTTTAACGTTATCTGGTATTTTTTAGACAACAAAGATTGATATATTTCGGGAAGCCGTTTTAAAAACTAATCCCATTTGTTTAGGGTTTTTTCACGTTTTACCTAATGCCCAATGTTTAGACAAAATTTATGCTATTTTTCGTTCACCAGATGATATTAAAAGACTGACTCTACATGAAATTATAAAATGAAAAGTTCACCCTTTTGTGTTTGATTGTTATTAAACAAATATTTTCATTTCATCTAATAAATAAATGTTTTTAATCTTATTATATTATTAATCGTTTTTAATTTTAATTTGAATACAAACAAACTAAAAAATCTTTAAATGATTATAAATAAATTGTTGGCAAATACAAATTAATATAAAATATGAATAAAATAATAATATTAATTAATTGTTAATAAAATTTAAAAATTTTACTTAAAAACCATTATTTGTTAATTTTAATAATTTTTTATTTGGAAACGAAGCAGAACATTAGGTATACAATTGGGCCATTACAGTTGACAAAAAAATAATAGTCAAAGACCAAATAACTGTCAGAAGTAAAATTAATAGTTTTAAAACTTCAGATAAGAACTATTATAAAAATAGATTTAAGTTTCTTACCATTTTTTGGTGTACATTTTTTTCACTTTTTTTAAAAAACCAGTTATTTTCAAGGTAATCAATCAGAAATACACCCCTTTGACAATTATTTGGTCTTTGATAATTACTTGGTCAACAATAAACCTTCTCCCATCAAATTAAATTTAACCAAAAGAAAAACTAATTATTTTCTATTGTTATACTAAAATAATAAACTATACCTAAATAAAAGTCAATTTTCTAAAATATTTGTTTTTAGTAAAAATCTGTGTTTTTAAAGAAAAATATAGGAATTTCTTTAACATAAATTACATTTTCTAGGTTAAGGTACATTTTCCTTACTGTAAGCATTAAAAATTAATTCAAACAAAAAATAAAAAGGGGTTGTTTGTCGTAGATACAACACAATAATAATTTATTTGTTGGATTTGAAAAAAATGAAAAAAAGTTTGGTTTAATATTTTTTTGTACTTCTTTTTTTAAGGTGAAGAGGAAAAATAACAGCTTATTTAAAAGAAAGAAGTTCAAAAAGAATATTGAATTATTTTTTTAGTAAAAATTGTGTTAAAAACAACAAAAGGTACAAATTCGAGAACCAAATAAATAATTGTTGTCCACTAAATTGATTGGTAAGTCGTGTGACAAATAGACTTGTTTGACCATTAAGATAACGACAAATAGACCCTTTTCACTGTATTTTTGAATCAAAAGAAAAAAGAAAAATTTAAATTGTTAAATGAACTATTAAATATATTAAAAATGTTTTATATTTTAATAAATAAGTTATAAATTTTTATTAGTTAAATTTTTTTAATTTTTAGAAAAAACAAAAACAATAAACTCTTATATTTTGAATAAAAGATTTAATTGTTTTTTTAAAATTTAAGTGTTAAAATTGTTTAATTACATGTTAATTTACACTCAATGTTTTCCAATAAAAACGACACCTTTTTAGTCTAATGTCTAGTAGCAAGTGGCAATTCTCTAAAAGAATCTGATTTCCTTAGTTTATCAGTCACTGTCACAGTCATCAATGAAGAACATCTTTCAAAGCTAAAATGTGCCAGCCTTTCCACTTTACTGGGGATTTCTATTGTTTTCAATTGATTGCATTCTTCAAAACAGTGTTTCCCAATTTTTGACAATTGTGTGGGTAAAATAATTTTCTTTAAAGAGGTACAAAAAATAAAACACGATTTTTGTAATTCTTTAATTTTGTTTGGCAATTCAATTGAGCAAAGAGATGTACAGTTCCCAAAAGAAAGTTCTCCAAGTACTTCCAAGTTTTGTGATAACTTGATTTCAGCCAAAGAACAACAACAATTGAATGTAAAATTATGAAGTGAAGTGATCGTGTCTGGTATTTTTATTGTTCTTAACTTTTCGCATCCCTCAAAGGCACTTTTTCCAATAGAAAGGAGTTTTGTTGATAAAGTGACAATTATTAAATTTTTCATATTACAAAAACACTTTTCTCCAATTGTTTTAACTGTATTTGGTATTTCAAGAGTACTCAAATCAACCTCTTCAAAACAATTTTCACCAAGAAAAGTTACACCACTTGGAATCACATTTCCGTAATTCTCTCTATCTTTCTTTGTAAAGGTAACATTCTTGAATACAAAGTTTTTGTTCGAATTCGTTAAATAAATTTGAAAGGACACTTTAAAATGAATAACAACTTGGTAAAAATTTTCACAATCTTTTTTATCCCCATTTTCTTTATTCAAATCAAAAAAATCATTTCCAAAATTTTCTTCTGACTCTTTATATAAATGAAGAGTCTCAACATTTTCAAAGTATTTCAATGTTCTTGTTGTTAGTGGCAACGGGTTGTAATGAAACTTTGATGTATTTCCTCTGAACTTTTTGGATACGTTTTCAAAAACAATGAAATCGTATAGAGACGAAAAATATTGTGATACTACCATCCCATGAAAACTGTCCAGTTGCGCCATTACAGTACTTCTTTTTCAGTCTTTGAATCATATTTTTCATGAGTTAGTCATTTGTTCCTTTTATTTTTTGTAATCTATCATTTAAAAATCCAAACAAATTACTATAAATAAATAACTTTTGATTAATATTGATATTTATTAATAAAACTTGACGATGATTGTTAGTGTTTATTGCAAGGAACAAATTATACAGCACTTCGAATTTTTTATAATTCGATATTTTGTTTATATTTATTTTAAATCATTAATTAATTGAAATATAATAAACTTTTACTATTAATTAAAACATCTTGATTTAAATAATTTGTTCCTTTGTGTTATTTCTTTTGTATATACTTAAAAAGGTTTAAATTAATAAAAGGTGAGCTTAAATACAACAAACCAAATAAACGGTAAAAAACTATTTATTTTACAACACACAAATTAAATATTAAATAATTAATTTAAAATGATTTTATAAACTCAAAGTAATTTTTTGTAAGAACAAACTTTATATTCTCATACAAAAATAGAATAATTTATAAAGGAAAACTAAAAAAATAGAAAATACGAATGGACAAAGATATTACAATAAGGCCATTTCACAAAGGATTTCTTCAAGCTGGTGGAACAATAGAAAAGACTCCTTTAGTTCCAAATGGAAAATACCTTTATAAACAGTTATGTTCTCAAAGAGTTTGTTTTTTAACTTTTAATTGAAAACGAAATCTGAAAACATTTTGAATAACACAACTATAAATACAAATCGACTTATTTTTAATCTAAAATTTTTTAACAAACACAAAGAAGACGGACTGTAAATTACGATATAAATTCTTTAAATAAATAAAACGACCAGAATTTAAATATTAAAACGCCTTTTTTGCCGATAAAGTCCATTTCAAGAACAATTAAATAACACTTTCAAAATCTTATTAATTGTCTATTTAATTAAAGCAATGATAAAATAACATTTCATTTATTGAATAAAAATAACACAGAGGAGAAAGCTTTCTATGAAGAAATAGTTTCCCTTCCTGAGTGGCATTCCACGGGAGTAGTTCCATCTTATTATGGAATAGAGAAGCATGATTTTGGCAAAGGTGTAATGGAGTATTTGAAGATCAATAACATGCTCTTCAACTGTCATTCCCCGTTTGTTCTTGATCTTAAAGTTGGGACGCAGACGTGGAAGCCGAATGCCACTGAAGCCAAAATCATTCACAAACAACACAAAAGCGAATTACTCAACGCCGAACACGTCGGGCTCAGGTTCTGTGGGATGAAAAGAACCATCGGCGACCAAGTCTATTCGTACGACCGCGAACTCAGCGAAGACGAGGTGATCGACCGGACGAAGTTGAAAGAAATGATTCGACTTTTCTTGTTTGACGGGAAGAAATACGAAGTCGAAAAGATCAAAATTTTCGACGAAAAGATCAACAGAATTATTAAAGCAATCGACACAAAGAAATTCAAGTTCTTCGGCGCATCAGTTCTACTCGTCTACGACGCAGACCAGAAAAATATCAACGAAAAAACCGACTTGAGACTCATCGACTTCTGCTATGCGTGGTCCTTGGAAAGGGAAAGCTGTCAAGAGGAAGATGGCGTTAAATTTGGTCTTGAAAACTTGAAAATAATACTTGGGGAAATTAGAGAGGAGGTCGCTAATAAGAAAAATTGAATTGAATTTTTTGTGTTTGTTTGTATTTTTTTGAGACAACTTTTAATTGTAATGCTATACAGTCAAAGGCGTCTATTTGTCGTAAATGAGTGAATTTTGTAGAAAATTCTTTTTAATAATGAAATTTATTTTTTATAAAAAATTTAGTTTTTAATTCAAAAAAAGGTACAAATTCGAGAACAAAATATTTAATTGTCGTACACCAAAATGATTGGCCAGTTGTGAAAAATAAGCAAGTTCGACAATTATAATTACGAAAAATAGACGCCTTTGATTGTATACATTTTAAGACTTTTTAAGATATGTGTTTAGGTTTTTGGTTTTAAAGTCTGTTTTCTATTTAACGATATTCTAAAAATATAATAAAGAAAAGAACTAGACCGAAAATATTAAACCATTATTTACTATACCCAATATCGCTAATTAAAAACCATTAACTATTAATAAATTTGTCATTAATTAAAACTAATGATAAACAAATCCTAAGCATTGACTTTTTTCCAATTCACTTGTTGTCGTTTTCAATTTGACCCAAATGATAATTTGACATGTCTACTCTATCTAATATGACATTTTATTCATTTTAATTACTTGGTTGACATAGTTTATTTCGTCGTATTCACATTTCAAGACCAACCTATTCTTCGTTTTGGCTTTATAATTTTTCAGTTGTTTAGGGGGCAGACCTTTCCCACCCTCACCCCGTTTACCAAAATAAAATATTTGCCGCGAGTGTTTTTTGAAGGAAGTCCACTTTTCAGTCACTGTTTGTGCGTCACCATGTCGCCCACTTTCCTTGTCCGTACTGTGTGGACGCGGATGTGGTTCCCCCCGCTTGCGGGGGGTCAGGGGGGATCCGCGCCAAGGGAGGACTTGGAAGGTGGGTGAAAAGGTCCACAAACAGACTATTTGAGTGCGTCTTTATGAGCCTTCTTTTCAATGCTCCGTCTTTCTCGGTTTCCACTGACTCGAGGTGAATTTTCGGCATTTCTTGAATTCGGGAACCAGACCTAATATTATCCAAAACGCCCATTTACTATAATTATAATTAAAAAATTATAAAATATAGTAAATTAATTCTATATTTAGACGGGGTGAGGGTGGGAAAGGTCTACCCCGTTGTTTAGCCATTTTGTTTTTTGTAATTTTTAGTACACTTTTTTAAAAATAGAACAAAAAAATATAATACAAACCATTTTTTAGAAAAACTACTTTATTTTTATTATAAATTATAATACTGTTATTATAAATAATAGTAAAAACCCAATATCGTTAAATAGAAAACAGACTTTAGTATGATAAAACAAGTTTATTCATATAATGATTATCAAATTAAATATATTATATATTTTGATATTATGGCTATTAACTCACATTACAGAAAGTAACTCACTTTAACTATTCAAAATTAAATATTCGTCGTTTTACTATAAAACAAACTATACTCATTAAAAAAATTATGTTTAGTATATCCATAGTTTAACAACTATATAAAGTTTGTAAAATTAATTATAAAAATAAACCATAATTAATTATATTTTTAATACTCGAAAAAAAGAAAATAAAATAAATGGTAAAAAAAACTTATTTGGTATAAATATTATCCAAAACAAAATATTAACAATTTAACAAAATTGACATTTTTAATTTTAAATAAAATTGTTTTGATTTGTTGTACAATTTTTTTTATAAACTATTGGACAACAAATTTGATATATTTAATGTATATATTTGATGATATTTCAATCCAAAATTCTATTATGCATAAACAAATACATATTATTTATATTAGTGGAATTATTTTCGTTGTTGGTATGTAATTACATATTTAAAAGTTTAAATGTTTTATTCAAAAAGTAAAATATTTTTCATAAAAGTTTAAAATAAACAGTAATTTTTATTAATTGTTATTTAAAAAAATCAGGGTCTGCCAAGATTTAGTTTTTAAACAACTTCGTGGCAATCTCTAATACGTGTCAGTTCATTTTAAGTTTTAACATATTGTCAACAAAAAATTTAAAAAGTTTTTTAGAGTTAAAATGTTTTTAAAAATTGGTAAAACTATAGTTAACGATTTAAACAAAATTTCTGTATTGTTTAAATCATCATTACAATGCGCTATAATCCAGTTTTAAAGAACAAAAATTGAACAGTAAAAAGCATATGATATTATGGGATGCAGATTTTTTAAAATTAAATAACAATATTCACTCATTATAATTGTAATATACAAAGAAGATACTTACAACCAATAAAATTATAAGAAATCATTTTAGTGATTTCAACTTAAAATTTTTATTTAAACAATTTATATACTTTTTAACATACACATTATTATTAATTGTAAATGTATATATATATATGTATATTTGTCAGTTTAACAAAGGTTTTGAATAGTTTATTTGTGTCCCTTTTAAATTATAGTATTAATTAAACAATCAAATAGAAGTAATTTTATTATCTTTTGCAATAATACAAAACAAACAATGTATTATTTTTCGAATGAAGTGAACCATATTACTTTCAAAACAGTAAAACTTATCTTTAGTTAATTTTCTTGATAAAAAAGATTATTCATAATACGATAATAATCAGTCAAAATAATTATTATCACCCAAATAAAAAAAACTGTTATCAGAGTAACTTTGAATAAGTTTTATTTGCATGTATAATTTACAATTGAAAGGTTTGGTGTACAATTAAATCAACACAAATATATATGTTTATTGTTGTATTCTAAAGTAATTTGAAAACAATTTGGTGTTTAATATAAATTATCGTTTTATTTTTCTTCATTTTATCTTTTGGTATAAATAATTGTGTTTTGTCATTATTATTTTGTTTTTTGAAAATGATTGTGTTATTTACCATTTTATTGTTTTTTAAGTTTTTTTCCAATAACATGATCGTTTGGCCGACCCTGATGACACGATAAACTATTTTTATAGCGTTGTAAAACCAGCCATTTGGATCTTTATATGCTATGTTTTGACTTCTTTTAGGGTTTAATATCGTATTCAACGCACACAACTTGTTTTATTTTTGTTTTTTAGTAAAATAGAATGCAGCAATACTGAATTGTTTTCGTGTAGTCTTTTTTTCAAATAAAAATAATCAATACAACACTAAGGTGTCTTTTTTTTCATCAGTATTCAGTCGTTTTATTAATATTTATTTTAATTAAGAATATGTGTGTATATTTTTAAGTCAACAAAAAGTATTTGTTCTAAAATATTTTTATATTAAAAATAAATATAAATATTATTAATGTTATGGTAGTTGTAATAGGGTGTATATTTTATTGATTTTTCAAAGTGTTCACAAAGCAATTCTTATTTTTTTTATTTTTGTCTTTTTATTTATAATTGTATATTAAATAAATTATAATTATAATAATATTTTATTTTTTTACTTAAATTCAAAAGTAACTGATATTTGAAAAGTCAAGAAATAAATATAAAATTGTCGATTAAAAAACACGACAAACTAATAGTGTTCGATTTATTTTTATGTTCTCATTAATTAAAACAATTAATTAATACCTAAACACAAACCTATTATAACAATTACAATGATAATATTTTTGTTGTACAAAAATACACATTAAACAAACAAAAACATAAATTATTGTTATACAGTCATAATTTTATTAGTTATTAAAAATAAGTAACACAACAAAGTAAATCTCGGGAATGTATTTTTAGTTTAAATTCAACAAGTTATTTATAGATTGAATTTGTGTTTATATTTAGATATAATTGACAAATATATATTTTTTGAATTTATTAAGTATTAATATATTGATTGATGCTTTATTAATAATCAATTAATA